TCCAGCCAAACTTCTTCTTCCTTAGTTTGACTGGTACTATCAGAAAGGGGCAAACAGTTAATCAGAAACTAGATGATTTTTGAATATGTGCCAAGAGTTTTCCCCTATCAATCCCACCCTGTGTTCCACTGTATGGAAAACACAGCTTTCTACTTCGGAAACAGCTTATGGCGGTGAAAGAGCTTTTGCAGTGATGCAGTTGTTTGAAAAGCTATTTTATGATGCATGCACTTTGAGTTAAGCGACACTTTATGGATGTAGACATATTAAATGCATACTCTTCTGTTATGTTATTAAAATGTTTTTGAACAGTTTTAGTGTTAAGGACTCTTATGAGAGTTGAACACTTGAGCCAAAGTAACCAACCAAGAGAGGACCTTGGTCAGGGAGGACTGTAAATATGCAATAGATTCTAAAAACATGTTTCCACTTTGTTATGGTGGAGTTTTTATTGTATACATTTAAAGATAAACACAGTAAGGTGTGCAAAGACAAAACAAGAAAATCTGAATTGTTTCTGAAGCAACTCAACATTAAAATATTTTGTGAATCAATTCTGTTCTTTGACTTTTTCTTAGTCAATTTAAAAGTTTAAAGATGTTTTTCTTCCTAATATAAAAATGTCTTCATCATTTGCATGTGCTATGTTTAAATTCACCAATACTTTGTATGGATCAATTTCAAATCATGTTCTGCAACGGAAAACATGAAGGAAGTGAAAAAAACAAACAAATGTGCAAAAAAGAAAGCCAACAATCCCACAGAGGCACATACTGATGAGTCAGATTAAACTGTGGAATTCAGTGGAAACATCTATGCAGAGATTTAGGCTGAGAAAGTTCTTACAAATGAGTGTAAGTGAAGACATTTGGATTTGAAGTGGACACAAATTGTAATGTTCATGTTTTTTTTTACCTGAAACACCTGTTGTCAAAACGATCTCTACACACTTAACAGCTTTTGTGGAGCGTTCATTAACTGTGTATCATGTGCACAAGAAGCCTTTATTAAGCAGGATGTAACTAAGCTTTGAGCTCAATTGTCATGGTCAAACTGACGGGAATGTTTTTGGAGTTTTGAAGGTTTTTGATGCAAAAAGATCCCTAAAGTTCAAACAATTCATTTTGCACACACC